GTGAGAAGCTGAGTTTACAAGAAAATAACAAAAAAAATTCAACAAAAAATAATAAAAACAATTTCTATTTGAGGATGATCGCAAGCGCAAGCAGCTGTTCTGCAGCGTCTTTTGTTTATTATTATTACCTGCAGCGGAGTTCGAGTTAAACGAAACCATTGCAAGTACACAAACTGAAATTATAGGAGGAAATTCATGCACACATATACACATACACAGTGTATCTAGTAGATGCACATATAAACAAAATAAAATGAAAAATTTCAAATTTAAAACGATTGATCTCTGAATCCCTGATAAACGTTGACTATCTTTGATATATTGTAACATACATATGAGCAAAGTTTGCATGCGTACATATTACGTGCCTCTATGTGTTTCAAAGCTTTTGCGCTTCTCGCGTACCGTAAGTTAACATCGTAAATAATTTGAGAAAGCACTTCACCACTTCACCACTTTTTCTTGTTGTTGTATAACAATTAAAGAGGGTCTCATCAATTTAGTAAGATCCATATGGATATGGATACAATGGAAATAAATATAACCCAACAAACACAATTACTGTTTATTGCGAGCAAACTAATTGACGGTGCGATTATGTAAATTAGATTAGATATACGAGTGCATGAGAAAATTGAAAAATGGTTCTCTTAATATGTATGTTAAATAAGATCAAGTTGCTTTAAACATTACTGCTAGTACCGGTTTAGTTACTGTCTGACGTATAAGCAGATGAGATTATTAAAAGTCATTAGACATTTTAGTCGCAACAGACTGTTTCTTCTTTAGTCGAAAGGAAATGCTGGACTTTGGGTTCTTCAGATCCAAAATAAACATAAAATCATACAACTACAACTACAACTATAGCTTTAACTTACAACTACAATATAAATTATTTGGTGTAAATAGTAATAAGAAGAGCGCCTCTCTCTTCACAACTTCAATTTACAGGGAAAGGTATTATTAAACAGTAGAAAATGTTAGGTTACACCAACGGCAGCTTGCCGCTGAAAATATTATCAGTAACGTTGACGTTGACACTATCGTCAAACTATAAGCTTGCAATTTTTGTTGTTTTTTAAATTCATATAGTAATATAAAGGGTACAAAGAGATTGTACTAATATTGTATATGGATATGGATATGTATCAAGCTGAAGAAATGCAACAATTTTCGTTATATGAAGTTGAAGAAGTACTCCTCCCTTCATATTCTCCTCCCTTCCCTTTTATCTGAAACTGGAATTAACTCTTAAGTTGCCGGTAATCTAGGTACTGATGTATAAAAACAGTTTAACAGGCCTCATTATGCTGACTGTAGATACAAAAATGTAATTGGAAATGCATTTTTATAAATGCATTTATATAAAATAATATCTTATATACAGTGTAACCAGTTGTATATAAAATACTACTTTTATAATAGTTCAATTTTAATATTTATCAAATTCTTTCTAAAAATAAAGTAGCTTCAACCGAATAAAGACGGATATAAAACACAACGAGTGCACAATCTTTGACTTAAGGATCAATATAATTATTAATTAAACAATAGCAGAATTAAATAGAATAATACTCAATACGAAATATTATACAAATATGTATTTAAATATCTCTTGTTTGAAGTAAATCAGAAATCCATATGGTATAGTTCAAAAAAGAAGATTCCAATGTATGGATAATATGTTATTTGGACCGTTCGTTTTTACAGCTTGTCTTAAAATAATTGTAAAATCAAAAATCAAAAATGTTTATTTAGAAGCATCTACAAAATTAGTGATATTCTTTTTTTGGCATTGACGATAAAAAAAATCAGTTAGGATTCGGAAACAAACCGCTAGACATCAAACTGATATGCCTACTGGGTTTTTTTTAGGTTGGAAACCAAAACTAACCGCAGTCAATAAAAGAAAAAAGCCAAACACAATGAACTTTGGCGTGTTGTGGCTTTGACTCTTCTCAGTTGTAGAATGTGTAAAAATGAATGAAATGCAGTTTGTGAAGAAGTGCGCTTCAAGTTACTTCTTACTCTCAAGTCTTAAGCAGAAACATTCATAAAACATTGAAGTCAACTGGTCGGTCGGCCATTCCTATTGGAAGCTAAGGTGATTCCAATGTGTGCACGAGATCGCTGTAAAAAGCAATAAGAAATGAATTTATATTCACAGCGCCAAGCGGCGCATCATTAACAAAACAATTCAACAAAGTTTGTACGTTTGTATATATGGCGGCTCTTGATTGTCTTAATGCCGCAAAAAAGTTTGAAATGTCTACGCTATCATATGGTATGGTGTGCCGTACGTATAAACGTATGAACCAGTATATTTGTAGGATAGGGTGTGGTGTTGTAGGAGTTTGAGGCACTCATAAAAGCACAGCCAAAATTTTAATATTTTTACTTAATTGTTAACAGCGCTTTATGTTTTTGTTAATTTTAATCTGGTCGATGTGTTTTTATATACGTGTATGAGTATATGAGTATATGAGTTCCTACAATGATTAGAAGACTCGGTGTCCAATTTTGTTTTATTTTACATTTTTTCGTATGTTCATTTCATTCTCGTTAATTAATTATTTAACATTAAACATAATAGAAATGTTATTATGCTATAACATGTGGGAATTAATGCCTTTAACAAGATAAAACATCATCAATTTAAAAATGTATATACAAAAAAAATTTGCTTTTAAGCAACTGGATAAGAAAGAGTATTAATCTTGAAAAAAGAATTCTAAAAAAATTATAAATTAAAATTTTTTTGTTTTATTTGTAAATTTGCGTGCAGAAAGGAGGGAGCTGGATTTATTTTACTTGTATGGCAATATATTGTACATATACAGTAGACTCTCTGTATAACCAATATATCATATAACAAACCCTCTAAGTAGCAAACGATACTTGCAAAGAACAAACATACCAACAATGCTCTCTTAAAATAACGCACGTTGAAAATAAAACTCATTCGAAAAACCAATTGCACTTATGATTATATTTCTCGTTTTACCAAGGGTCCACTGTATTGAGAAAATATTCTTATTGTATTTGCTGTACTGTAACAATGTATGGATAACTGTTTTTATTTTCTTATTAATATCAAACTTCCTTGAGAAAATACTAAAAATTCTCACTACACGTTGCAAAATTAACGATGCGAAAAGATACTGATTAAAATCTTTCACATCGAATATGTTAGGCGAAAGCTCACGAATACTTTAAAACGCTAAAGGTTTGATATTCTTAAATAGAAATTTTAACAATTTTAATGGAATTCAAAAATTGAGTTTAATCTAAAACAACAATACAAACATTTTCTTTTTTTGTTGGCAGTTCCTATCCAAAACTATCCAAAATTTTATCATTAAGATATATGTTAGCTATGGGAGTAAAAGTACTGTTCATAATTTTGCCGGTTAAACACTGTTGCTTGATTAAAAAAATGCTCTACAAATCTAGTACAACAGTAATACCGATGACGCTGAACGCGTTAGATACTTGAATTCGGTTTTAATGACTACTGCTCAAATCATTAGAAAAGTACTGACTAAGGTCAAAATCTCAGAAATAGTGCATTCATTATTTGGAGTTAAATCTGTTTTAAGGAAGAATACACAGAAGAACATCCATCCATCAAGAAATCACTTCAAAAGTTAAAGGACTTTAGAGTAAAATACCTTGTATATATAATACATGGTACATATAATACATATAATATAGAATATTATAATAATGAAGTTTTTACAACACTTCATTTGATTTTAATTATGTATTAAAATTTGCAATATACTTGCATAATACGGTAAGACATTACTGACTTTTTTTATATTACTTTTAATTTAAATACATATCTTTTTAAATTGACTATACTAGTTTAGAATTTAATTATATGGTATATTCATATTTAACTAAATGAACATGTTTTTAATGTATGACTATCAAAATGATTGTTTTATAGATACATGAAATTGCATATTGTATAAAAGACCATATTTTCAATTTTTTTTTTAAGTACAAAACGAATGAAATAGTCAACTAGCTTCCAATAGGAAATAACTGACTACTTTGGGCTACCACATGATTGCAGCTTATGTCGATAAGTGGATAAGTTCATTTCCTCTTAACAGATGGAGATGGAGATGAGCACTTATAGACAGACTAAACCCATAATACCGAAACCGTTGGCCAGGGAAGCGATAAAAGTGCTTAGCCATCCACGGAGCACCCTGAGCTGGCTGACCTCATTGATTACTGGACTTGGAAACTTCAAGTATCACCTCAAAAAGATAACTCTTGTTAAGGAAGGCACTTGCATACTATGCCTAGAAGAAAACAAGACAACGGTGTACATATTGTGTTAATGTCCAGTAGTGGTGAGCAAGAGGATGACTGTCTTGAGACACCATTGGGTTGGTGATGACTTGGCAGGCAACCTCAAACCAAATGAGCTGCTTACAATAACAAGAGATGTAGTTATGCGAATGGAAGCTTTAACTTTAACTCAATAACGGAATCGAAGGATGAAAGAGTACCCAAGTTGTTTAGTCGTCTACTTCAGCTAATACTTCACTTCAGTGGGGTACTTGTTGAACGGTGCGCTCTCCCAACGTCCCACAATATGTATATATATAATGAAATAACTATTATTTCTATACAGCACCACGTGCATACATCTGCACATAAATAAAATTAAACAAATAGAACTTTAATAGTGTCACAAATACTATGAATTATATATGTACGTACATATGTATATGGTTTTAAAAGCAACAAATTTATATATAATAAAAATAACTTGCAACTTATTGTCTATACAGTTCTAGCGATGTCACAAATTTAAATCGCGAATTATAAGTATGTATTCTTAGATTCATTGTTTGACTTTTACATATAAATAAAGTTTTTAAACGGATTTTGTTCAGATATTTTGTTATGCAAAAATACATGCAGTTGCTCATATACTGCATTATATATGTATATATCAGGCAAAAAATGTTTATACTAACCAAAGCCGAAGCGTTTTTTAATCTTTTGCAGCAAATGAATTTTTTTCTTGCTCGATATTTTATCATTTGGACTTCCCATAACAACAACATGACCTCCAGTATTCTGTGGCATATAACCACTTGAAACATTGGATAAGCCCATTTTTTTGCAGTTTATTCAAAATTTTAAACTATCACTTTTAATATATTTTGTATCGTTATGTAGAGTCAAACTATATTAGGCTATACGGCTATACGGCTATACGGCTATACTATATTATAAAATCACATAACACATATTTTTTGTTTCAAAAGAATTTTTTTTAACTTTTATTTTGGTAACAGTTTAAGTTTTGCTAAAATAATTTCCCCACGCCGTAAAACGATCAAACTTTGCAAAATGTTCGTTTCTCAAACAATTAGAAAATCAAATATCCAAACAACTGCGAACGCGACCACCAAAATAAATAAAGTCGAAAAACCGAATAAACTCCAACCGACCCAAACGCTCTGAACTAAAATTTATAACTGAACCCTAAACGTGCAGAACAAAGTGACTAAACCGTCTAAAATATCAATCCATTCAATGAACCAAATGTACGATGCGACATGCATGGAGTACGTTAACAACTACAGTATGTGGAGAGATACAAATTTCGAGAGAGAGAGAGAGTGAGAGTGAGAGTAAACTGTGATGAACAAACAAATGTTTGCTAGACCTAACAAGTAACCTGAACTGAAGCCTTTGCAGCAGTGCCGTGCATGGCAGGCAGATATAAATAAATTGAGGTAAATCAACTTTGGTAGCAGAATAACATGCAGCTGTTCATTATTTATTTTCTTGTACGTTTTTTACATTAGATTCTACTATGTATCATACTATATAAGTATGCGTGAAACCTCCCTTATAAATGGACACAAATCATTAAATTTAATACAATAATTTTTATTGTTATTTTCTCTACAGACTTTATTTCAAAGGTATTTGCAAAATTTCAACATACATAATCGAAAACTTTTTCATTTCACATTTCATTATCACATTTGTACGGTTTCTACATTAGTTTCCAGTATTTATAAGGATCAAGAAAATTAGTTTAAACTTTTTAAATATTATTAATAATATTTATTATTATGTTGATGCTAGTTGAGTCAGTGCACTTGAGCAGTTTTACTCTCTATTAACTGCCAGGTTTCCTCATAACCCCTCTGTACGCCTCGACTGGATTATTGTTTATCACTTCATCAGACTAAGCAGTAACTGACCTCAGACCTGCATACCTCCCCGAGGAACCTATTCTGCCTATTCTGAGATTCGATAACGCGGTGTTGGTAAACCTGTCAGTTTAAATGATTACCATAAGACTTACTTTATTTATTGCATTTGAAATTATATGTTATAAATTATTTCAAATAGTTAATGTATTACAATATTTTTTGTATAATCGCTAAACATTTGTAATTGAATATGCAAATAAATAAGAGGAAGAAGATACCTGTACAGCAGTTGTAGTAGCACATATTTATTAAATTAGAATTTATAATCGAATGATTATCAAAAATTAAGTAAAACAAAATGATCTAGTTGTTAGTTAGTTAGCTGATCTATAATTACAAACATTGAATTATTTGCAGCACATGAACATTAACAAATTGAATCTGTAAGTATAAGTGCAGTATAGATATTCTGATGAAAGATAAATATTAATTAAACTCTACTAAATATAATGCAAATAGAGTCTCACTTATTCTCGACATACATATATGTAATAAATATTATGGGATATTAAGCCTCCTCAATTACAATATGACAAAAATACGTTTACTATTGTTGACCACGAAGTGGAATACCGTCTATGAATAAAATAAAGGAAAATGAATTCGAAGATTGACGACCCCTCTCCTATGATTTACTAATATATGGATGCAATGTAGGGACCATTAGTAGGGAATGTGCATCTATCCAGCTGATAGCAGCCCTAACTGTAAGGATAATATCACCGTTCTCCGGAATATATGAGGGACAGTAAACATCTACAATGCAAAAAGCTGTGAATCTAGATGCAGTTCAAACTTTCCAACTCAGTTCAAAAGGTCACATTAACAAACGAAATACTTGCTACTATTCGTATCAGAGGAGTTTTTGCGCACGTTTCTTTAGAAGAAAAAGACAAAACTATATAAAATGTCTTGTATGTGTCTTGTATGTAAACAATAAGAAATCGAGAGAAATCGAATTTTAATCTTATTTAAAAGCCAACAGTCTAACTTAAGACATTAAGTCAAGGCTTCAGACAAAGTTCTAAAAATTTCTTATCCCATGATCTCTTCAATCTTGTCATAGAAGTGATCACGGGCAGGACAGCTATTCTTCACAATAATAATGTAACCAAGTTGAAAATTTTTCGCATGCCTCAGATGTTTTAACTTATTTCTAATTTACACCAGTTGATATACGCGTCATGTTGGAGAAATAATTGATTATTTCAAATAATATGTTCTGCTCATTAGTGTACTCGAAAATTAATGCGAAGTCTCTCACAAAGGTAAGAAACTTACTAAACTGTGTGAAGCGAAATGTTTATACCCACAGGCGATTTGATCATTCAGAAATATAGAGAAGCGCGATCCTATAGGGCGACATCGAACAATATATGAAGGTTCTTGCCTGATTACGTTATTTATAATGGTATCCATAAAAAAATTCTTTAATTGTTCGGAGCTATCGAGTTCAAACAGATCTCCGTTATTTATTATACATAAATTTAAGCAGTGTGTACTTTTTCATGCATTCGTTTAAAATTTCTTTTAAAATACGGAACGCTCTATGTACCACAATCAGAAATACAGGTAAGAAAGGAGTTTTCGAAATTCACAGATAATTCACAGATGAACTATCTTAATATCACTTTTATTTGTTTTCTCATTTTATGTCTATTGTTTTAAATTAATTTTTTTAATTAATTAATTTTAATTTTTTTCTCCTTTGAATTTAAATTTTTTTACATTTTTTATGTTTTATTAACTCTAATTATTATTAGTTTATTTTAAGTTTTTGGATACTGTTATTAACTGGAATAGCTTTAAATTGGTTCTTAACTTTAAAAATTTTGGTTTATGAATTTAAAAGTAAGTAATAAAAGGTTAATCAACATTTTTAATATACATAATAATAGTATATTTCTAACAATTCTTCCATTTATTATATTCTATTTCCACTATAAAATAGAAACTGTTAGTAAAGCCGTTTTGTTGGTAAAAGGAGTTAAACATAAAATTATAAATGAACTAAGACGAAATCGAAATTTTTAGAAATATGTTTAGAAAACGAAAAATTGTTAAGAATTTTTTATCGAATGAATAGAAAGAGAGTTCTCATTAAGGAACACTTACTTTTTTTTTAAAAATACTCTAAATAAAAGATAAGAATCGTCTTCTTGTTAACTATAAGAACCGTGAACAGAAAACTCAAATAACTAAATCCAATGCTAACAAAACTCGAGCAGATGTTTAAAATGTGGGAGTGCGTCAGAGATGTATTGGTGGTGTGTATCTCTGTGCTATGTTTATTTAATACAAATACCACAACGTGTTGTTCCGAAGAGTAGCTGACTAGGGTTCGCAACGGCATAACGATTACAGCAAAATCCTATTTATAAATAATTTCACATATTTTGTTTTTAAAATAGAAAGCAAATTCTGTGTATTTAATTTAGGGTTACAACTACAAGCTTTAAATAAATTCGATAAAACTCGATAATTTTCGCTAAGTTAAATATTTATTAGAAGCAAACAGAGTCAGTTTTGACATATTTATGTTGTGAGTCTGATATACTCGTTGCACAAACTCCTAAAATAAATTGCTCAACTTGTTTGTAACGCTGTGAAGGATATACCAGAACACATCAAATGTATATCCGATATGTACAATAATTGATAATTTTGGTAAAACTTAGTGTAAATCTTTTTATGAATCTATATATTTTACTATAATAAGTTATTAAGAATACTGTGACACCAGTTAAATTTATCGAGTTCATTCAGAAATAGATTCCAGATACTTTAGAATCTTTAGTTTCTAGACACTCTAATGCATTGGTATATAATTCTTTAAACACATGATTTATTCTTTCAAATATTTTAATATTAATACTATAAATAATATTTAATACTTTTTTAATATTTAATACTAGAAATTAATAATGGTCTAAGTACATTTCTCAAGCATTGTTATTAAACATGAACTATTAGTATTCACATTTACATTCACATCTCCATTGGTGGAGCGCCTGTAAACAAATAAAATTTTGAACAGACGTTTTTAAATTCAATGTTTTTTTTAGATTTGGATTTTAGATAAATAAGTATCATGCCTTAAATCTAAAGAGTTACTTAAAAATATATTGAAAAACAAAGAATACGACAATGATTTATAATCGCTTGTCGGTGTTGGTTTTATATAAATTTACCTTTTTGCTTAAAATAATTTACAATTCCAAAATGAAATTATACAGAATTCAAATTAATTGCTTATGTTTTAAATATTAATTAAAAAGTATTAAATTCATTGATAATCAGTCTTCTATATTTTAACGCACTAGTAATATAGTTAATCAATTTTTTCCCTTTAATATTATTTTCCCCATTAAGTACACTGATTACTTCCTCTTCCACTAACGATTCTCTCTCAAAACATATTTGTCTAAAAGGCCTCAATACAGGACAGCCTGAATACAGGAAATTTAATATTTGCAAAACATAAACTAATAGTTTCAGATTCATATATCATATATAACAAAACAAAAACTCTATAGTTTCTATAGTTTGAATAAAGGACAGATAAACTTTGGCAAAGGCAAAGCTAAAGTTTTTTGTTTGGTGTATGCAGATTACAATTTACATAATATCAAAATATGTGTTCCTTTTAGCAGTTGTATTCTTGTATTTATGTTTATATTCTAACTAATGTCATTTATATAAAAATGCAGGGGTCGTCAATATACGTACGCCAGGCAGCACGACCAATCTCATTGTTTTTGTAATATCAAACTCTTTCTTTTGGCTTCTGTAATAAAATAAGTTTTACACCTGGAGTTTGCAAATACCCTACAATTTAAAATACATTCACACAACACAACGCAGATGAATTGATGGGGTAAACGTCGCTGACAATAACAACAACAAGCATCTATCTTAATCGTGTTTGAATACCACTTCAAGGTGTACTCAATTTTATATAAAACACGACTGACTGCAAATTCAAAATT